ATTTTTGCACAATGGAGTAGTACTTAGCTATAAAATATAAACTTGGGGATTTTATAGGTAGATGGATACAACTGGAGACCATATTCATAAGTAAATTAAATCAGACCTTCATATGCAAGCATCATATTGTCTCAGTAGTGTAAGAACCTGAAAAAGCAAATAAAATCTGAAAGGTGCAATAGATACTGTAGAAAGGAAAGACTAGGGCCAGTCAGATAGCTCAGTGGATTAAAGCGCCTGCTTAGGAAGCTGCAGGCGTCAGAATTCGATCCCCCAGCATGCCATGCCAGCTCTGCCCCAGGGTGCACTGAGACAGCAATTGAAACTGGGCATGGGGACATGCACCTCTAATCCCAGCATTGGGAAGCTGAAAACAGGAGGATCAGTACAAGTCCGATCTGTGTAGTGAGACCCTGTAGACCTTGTACTAAATACAAATAAATAAATAAATAAATATTTTTAAAAGGCAAGAATATATGTGTGTGTGTGTGTGTGTGTGTGTGTATGATAGCTTGTATATTCGTACTGTTGATTTCTGCTGGTCTATTGAAAGGAGTGGCTCAACATATACAAATCAGTAAATGTAATTCATCCTATAAACAGAAGCAAGGACAAAAGTCACATGATCATCTCAATGGATGGAGAAAAAGGCTTTAATATCCAACATTCATTCACAATAAAAAAAAGTGCAGAAAGTCATGTAGAAGGATCTCATCTCAATCTGATAAAAGCCATTACAGCAAATCTACTGTCCATATCCTATTAAACAGGGGAAAACTGAAAGCTTTCTCCCTAAAATTAGGAAAAGACAAGGATATCCACTTTCACTGTTCAGCTTAGTCCTGAAAACATTAACTAGACCAATCAGGGAAGAAAAAGAAATAAGAGACACATTTATGAAAGGAAGCACCATTATTTGCAGAAGACATGATCCTCTACTTATAGGACCCAAAATCTACCCCAAAAGCCTCTTAGAATTAATAGTCAAATTCAGTAATGTAGCAGGATACAAAATCAACCCACATCAACAGTGTTCCTGTACACAAATAATAAACTCATGGAAAAAAATTTAGAAAATAATGTAATTCACAATAGCATCAAAAAATTAAATACCAGGGCCAGCCAGACAGCTCAGTTGACTAAAGCACCTGCCTAGGCAGAGCACAAGGGCCAAGGTTGGGTCCTCAGCGTGCTGTGCTGGCCCGGCCCCCAGGGCCCACTGAGACTGCAGTTGAGACTGGGCATGGTGGTGCATGCCTGTAATCCCAGTGCTTGGGAAGACAAAAAACAAGAGGATCACTATGAGCCCAATCTGTGTAATGAGACCTGTAGATCCTGTACTAAATACATTTTTTTTATTTAAATACCAAGGAATTAACCTAACCAAGGAATGTAAAGGCCTCTAAAATGAAAATTACATCACTCTGAAAAAGGAAATCAAAGAGCACATCAGAAAATGAAAAGAAGCCAGGCGTGGTGGCTTACACCTGTAATCCCAGCACTTGGGAGGCTGAGGCAAGAGGATCGTTGTAAGTTCAAGACCAGCCTGGGCTACACAGTAAGCTCAAGTGAGAACCTGAAAGAGAAAAATGGAATCTGAAAGGTATGATACTGGGAAAAGGGAGCAAACTTACTCAAAAGGAAAGAGTTACTGAGTTGAGGAGACGTAGGAGAGGGAGTGGGGGCAAGAGATTTGTATGCAAGCAGGACGGTTTGGACAACTGTACTGTGCATTTCTGCTGGTCTATGGGAAGAAGCAGTCAATGCTCTGATTTGTTTCATCTCCTTTTTGCAGTTGTTTGAATTTTTTCTCTTCTAAATTTTGTAGACATTTCTTTCATTTTTTCTTTCTTCTTCAAATTTTGCATGCATATAAGTTAATATGAATAACTGGAAGACAAAACTACATATTACAGCAAATAATGTGAAGTCAATATTACTTTGTTAAGTGAAATTCTGTATCACTTGTAAATTTTTCTGTTTTAATTCTAATTTCTACTCTTTTTAAAAAATTTAAAAACAAAAATATAAATAGATAATAAGATATTTAAAAATACATTAAATAAATAAATAACAAAAATAAATAATAAAAATAAAAAAATTTTAATTTAAAAAAGTGAGCTCAAGGCCAGCCTGAACTGCATAGCAAGAGCCTGTCTCAAAAAGACTGAAAAGAAAAAGGAAAGAAAGAAAGGAAGGAAAGAAGGAAGGAAGGAAGGAAGGAAGGAAGAAAGGAAGGAAGGAAGGAAGGAAGAAAGGAAGGAAAGAAAGATGAAAAGCTTCCATGCTCCTGATAGGCAGAAACAACATAGTCAAAATGTTGTCACTCTGAAAAAGGAAATCAAAGAGCACATCAGAAAATGAAAAAAGGCCAGGCGTGGTGGCTTACACCTGTAATCCCAGCACTTGGGAGGCTGAGGCAAGAGGATTATTGCAAGGCTCTACTTCCAAAGCTGATATACTGATCCCTTCAATACCAAAGTGATCCATCTTTGCAGTGCCCGTAACCACAGCACAGCAGGCATCCAATGGAGACCAGCTCCCTGCTGGAGCCTTAAGGCCTCCAGGCCACTACAGCTACAGGAGTCCCAAGCAGTGAACCGCTGTGCCCTAGATGTATGCCTGTCCCTCTGCTGGGCCCTCAGCCAGGAGCACACCTCTTTGTCCTGCTGGCTCTTCTGATGACCAGCCACACCAAGCATGCTGCCTGGCTCAGCAACCTCCCCTGTGCCCTGCAGCACCCACAGGAGGGCTGCCAGTCCCTTCCCTATGGAAACCATGACACACAATCCTAGAGGCACTTAAGCAGAGCCAGATCTGGGGGAGCCTCGCACCCCTCTCATGCACCTACCCAGCTATGGGCTCTGCCTAACTGAACCGTCCCTACTTCTCTTGTCTGGAGTTCCAGTCCGGGCTGAGTCTCACTTGTGGGCAACCGCTGCCTCTGAGAGCACTAAGGGAAGCGCTGGAATCAGGGAAGGAAGCCCAAGACTGAGTAAGGGTGGCACCGCCTCTGCCGAGACTGGAAGAGGTGCGGAGGAGGTAGACAGGGTTTCGGGATGGATGGGCACTCTGTTCGGGAGTCACCCGAGCCAGGGAAGGCCTCGGAAACCAGGTAATGGGGCAACCAGGACAGCATAGAACAGACTATGGGGTCCCTGGCTGCCTGGGCCCTCTGCCGGGTTCTCCTGGGCTTGTTCGTCCTTCCTGTAGGCCTGCGCCTCCGCTTCCAGGTAGGCTGTTCCGGCACCGTCTGGCCCAGCGGCCCCTGAAGATCGGGACTAGGGACTGTGAGCAGGAGGCAGCCGGGTCGGCTAGGTGTGGGCGGGGCCTAGTCGGGGGGCGGAGTTAGATGGCCAGGAATTGGCCTGGACCTGGGCGGGGGCGGACCTACAGCCCCTGGACTCCGCCCCTGGGCGTGGCCTGGGCCGCCCGGCTGCAGTCAGCCTTAGGGTCCACCCTTCCGCCCGGCGTTCACCAGCAGCTTCCACCTTCCGCCCAGCGCCGGCTTTCGGTGCGACCGTCGCTGCTTCCCATCGTTGCGCTGCCCCTGCAGCACCCAAGCCCGCAATGTCGGGCCCCAACGGGGACTTGGGCATGCCGGTGGAAGCGGCCACGGAAGGGGAGGACGGCAGTTTCGAGGAAGCAGGTGAAGGAAGCTCGGGGGCATAGAAGCCACCTTTGCTGGCCTGGGGACCTCGGGGTGGGGATGGGGACTCGGAAGGGACTGAAGAGGCCCCTTCACCCGCGGGTCCGCGTAGTCCTGGAACTGTCCCAGCAGTGTAAGGCGAGCACTGGAAAACGGGTCCACCCATAGAAATTGCAGCATGGGAGAACTGTGGACAGCCAGCTCCTGTTTACAGATGGGGAAACTGAAGCAGTTTACCGGCGCACACCCGTTTGGGATTTTCTCCAGCCGCTTCCTTCCCCGAAGGCGGGCGGGATCGAGCGCGGCGGCTTGGCTTAGAAGGGAAGACTGTGGGCTCCCTGCTCTGCTGAGTCAGCTCCCCAGGCACCGCTTTCCTAGTGACCCGCACACTGAGCAGCCGGTGGCGTGCACGGCACTGCTGGAGGGCGGGAGGACCATCAACTCTCGGCTTCCCATCATCTTCTTGGGCCTCAGTTTCCCATCTGTAATATAAGAATAGTGATTGGTGCGTCCTGTAGTATAAGATTGGAGGAAAAATGGAACGCAAAGTGCTTAGCAGATTCCATTGTGCCGTGTTAAGTGTTTAGAGTGACTATGGGGCTTCTCTTTAGTAAAATTGGTGTCAGGGTAGAAAGCAGAACTTAGTAAATGTGGGGGTAAGGAGAGACTATGCTTTTGGGTTTGGGTAACAGCTTTATGAGTGTAAGTCACGTCCTCTACAATTTACCCATTTCAATTATACGGTCCCATGCCTTGTAGTATATTCAGAGTTGTGCATGCAGCCCACCATAGCTTTAGACCATTTTCATCACCCACAGTCTGCTTGGGATCTGGTATTTTTTGATGCTTGGAATTGAACCCAGGGCCTTCATACACAGCTATATCCATAGCTGTATCCACTTTTTTTACTTTTTTTTTTTTTTTTCAAATTTCCAGTTTTTCTGTCTCAGCCGCCCAGAGTGCTGGGCTCACAGGCATGTACCACCAAACCCAACTCCAGCCCCTTTGTCTTCTCCATACCTACAATGACCAGACCAGCCATGAACTTGTGACCCTCCTGCCTCAGTTGCCCTTGTAGCCAGGATTGTGTATGAGTGTCAACCTGCCTGGCCAGGATCTGCTTCTGATAGGGGTAGAAGATCTACTGGGGCCAAGGAGTAGGTTAGGTTTGCATGGGCTGTGCTGGTGAATGAGGCCAGATGTGTGTCATGATTGCTGGACACCATATGGGAGCCTCGGGAAGGGCCTCCTAGCTCGTCACAGAGTGGACGTCCCAGTTGGCAGCTCCCCAAGACAATGGGGAAGAGGATGTCCCTGGCAGATGCAAAGGCTTGGAACTGGAAAGTACTTTTTGACACAGATAAAGCCAGGGCTGAATAGTGTGGAGACACCTGCCTCTCCCGCCCTTTGTCCCAGTTTGTGTCCCTGGTGTAAGATTTTGGTCACAGTGAACACCTATTGAGTACTTGCTATGGCCAGACCATCTGATTTTTGATGTGTTTGAATGCTTAGTTCTCAACCTTTTCCACTAAGGAGCTATGGTAACTTGCTGGGGTGGAACAGAGCTAGAGCTCAAATTCAAGAGCCACTAATCCCCAAGTCTGTCTTGGTTCTGTCATCAATGAGCCATGAGACCTGCAGTTTCTTCCTCCTTAGGCCTCAGTTTCCCCATCTGTACTACAAGGGGGTAGACGTTTGAGGCCAGCAGACTTTCAGGACTAGCCAGTCAGAGGCACCATCTCTGGACAAGGCTGCCCCACCTCTAGAATTCACATTCGCACCCATGTCCCAGACACACCATCAGCCACTTCCCCTCCAGTCCCGTGCAGGTAGTCTCATGTATCTGACTCATGTGCTGGCCCAGAACTGGGTCCCACAGTGAGCACAGGCCCAGACCTTGGGGCTTCAGGGACACGATATTGCCCTAAGAGGCAGACTGTGAGTGGTGGTAGAGGAGAAAATAATCATTCCAGTTGGAGGCCTGGAGGACCTCTCAGAGGCTTTGTGAGCTGGTCCTGAAAGGGCTTTGGCACTGAGGCAGGCGTTCTGGCTTGCATGGACAGATGAGAAAAGCACAGGCAGAGGCTGGACAAGAGAATTTCATTCATTGAGTCAGTCAACAACTGCTTATGTTGGGAGGATAATGGGAAGACAGCAACAAACCAAGGCAGCGTGACACTCATCTGCAGTCCAGGCTGCAGGGGCATCTGAAGCAGGAGGATCACAAGATCAGTCGTTTCCTGGATACACACAGTCAAGGAGGGACGCACAAATAATCACAGTGCTGTCCTGCTTGAGGGAGGGGCCAGGATGGCCAGGAGATCAGAAGAGAGCCTGACCAGGCCTGGGATACAGGGAAAGCACCCCAGTGGCGACATCCACACTGAGACTTGACGGGTGAGTGGGTCTGATCCAAGAGAAAGAACGAGGAGGAGGAGCCAGTACATTCCAGGCAGAGGCAACAAATAAGATAGGCTTGGCAGGTGGAAGAGGAAAAGAAAAGGCTTGGGAGATTGCACTAGAGAGGGAGCGGGGCCTGGGTGCCACTCCAGGGCTCGGGGAATCCACTGGGTGCTTTATCCTGAAGGCAGAGGGAGCCATGGAAGGGCTGGAGAATGAGCTCTGCCACAACAGTGGCCTTGCTGGCCCAGCTTGGGAACATAGGCTATGGCCTCTACGCAGCTGCTGAAGGAAGCAGAGGAAGCCTGGCATCTACCAGACCTCAGGCAGCTCCCTGGCTGGCTGCCCCACCACCACCCCAACCCTAGGAAAGAGCGCATCAAGATTTTTTTCTTCAAAACCTTTCTCCTTGTTTTGTTTTGCTAGTACTGGGCATCAAACTCAGGGCCTTGTGCTAGCCTGGTGTTTCTCATTCCTCCTCCTGGATCAGACTCTCTCATTCTTTAAGTCTCAATGTGGATGTCGCCATTGGAATATCTTTCCTGTACCCCAGGCCAGGTCAGGCTCTCTTCTGATCCTCTGGCCATCCTGGTCCCTCCCTCAATCAGGACTGAACGCTGTGATTATTTGTGTGTTCGTCCTTGACTATGAGTCTCCAGGTAGGCATTCATGCCACTGAACTGTCTCCCCAGCCTGCCTTCTTCCTTTTGAAGTCCACCCACTTTCCAGATGGTGACAGTGAAACTCAAGGAGTAGGAACTTGACCGAAGCCCAACGGGGACAGAGGGACGTGAGGGTATCAGTGAACCCTGAGGTGACAGGACTTGACTCTGAATCCCCTTCCTCTAGAATATGCTGCCATCAACTCCATGTTGGACCAGATCAACTCTTGCCTGGACCACCTGGAGGAGAAGAACGACCACCTCCATGCCCGTCTCCAGGAGCTGCTGGAGTCCAACCGGCAGACACGCCTTGAGTTCCAGCAGCAGCTCGGGGAGGCCACCGGTGATGCCAACTCCTAGGATATGGGACCCCTCGGGGCAGGCCCCAACCCTGTATCCTTGGGCCAGGCACCCTGTATCCTTGGGCCAGGCTCTACCTAAGCACTCACCATCTGGCTCCACATCCTCTTGAGGGTTGACCATTGGTCCCCTTGTGGGTCTGCCTGCCTGTGCAAGCCCCACTACCCAGTGTCCTTCCTGGGGCCAGGTGTGGGTTGGTCATCCACCCACCAGTCTGCCCATCTCCCAGGTATGCCTCACTCTGTCCAGGATCGAGTATCCACATTAAACGGGTCTCCCACACCTCTACACCGCTTTCCTCTATGTGCTAGGACCAGTGGCGGTGAACAGGGCAGTCAAGGCGTCCAGGCACTGACCACACATTGGTGGCACCAGCTGTACCCAGAGAGGCCGAATGCTGGCCGACAGCTGGGGGTGGCCCTTGTCCTATACAACCAGGCAGAAGTGCTGGTGGGCACCGCACCCCCAACCAACTTTTCTTTTGTTGAATGTTAAGTAAAAACACCAACCACATCAGTCTCCACAGACTCCTAACAGCATTCACAAACCTGGCCCCAGACAGGATGGGCAAAAGGAGCTGCTGCTTTCAGGTTCCGAGGCGGCTCGAGCACTGAAGAAAGGGGTGCTGGGGACTTAGGGGCCCAAGCGATCGCCTTGCAGAGGGGAGGATGGGGGGCTGACCACTGATGCTGCTGAAGGTGAACAGCACAGTCACTATTATGGGCATGGATCACGCTGGTGGCTCCCACACTAGCATGTGGGGCCAGGACACTCGGTCACCTCATGTGTGTGGACATAAGATGGGGGCCTCCTCAGACATGCTTGGGACTTTGTGGGATGCATGGGCCTTGCTGGGTGCTAGGATCTTCCACCAAGACACACCGTGCCACCTTGGCACTGCCCTCCCACTCTCATCTCCAAGCTAGCCAGCAGCTAGGGGGGCCTGGTTTCTCTCTTAAGTGGCTAAAGGTAAAATTAATGGCACTACAAAGCCAAGCCAGTGGACCTCATTTGTTGCCAATTCATCTTGCTGTTGCCTACACGCTGCCCGTGAACCGAGAACTGAGAACCAAAGTGCCTGAGTGGCAAGTTCCCCCACCCTGTATCTCAATGGCACCAGGGTCCAGCTGCAGAGGCCAGCACAGGGACCGCATCCTGGCCACTCAGCAGCCCTGTGACCTCTGCCAAGTCCCTTGACCTTGCTAGGCCTCAGTTTCTCCATCTGTAATTTGGGGGTAGCAACCACACCACTTCTGAGGGTCACTGCGAACGTTAACAAAGACCTTAACTTACTTGGAGGCAGTTTCCCAGCCCTCACACATCATGAAGAGGGTAACTGAGGCTTAGGCAAAGTGCTGGGTGATCCCCAAGTCCCTAGTTCTCAGGAAGCCTATCTTTGCCTTCCAGATCTGTCACAACATTATGCCAAGAAAGGGCTGCCTGCATGTCCTGTCGCCTGTCCACCCAGAGAGAAGTACCGGTGGACACTGCACATCCCAACTACCTTTTATTCAGTTTTGAGTTCAAACACCAAGCACATGTGTTTGCACACAGCATTAACAGATCCACACCAGCAAGCTGGGCTCAGGGTGCTCTCACCCTCAAGTCTTAAGGCGGCTAGAGCGCCGAGGGAGGGGCAGGGGATTAGGGGATCGAGGTGTCACCTTGCCGAGGGGTTTGGCTTTGTCCTGAGGGCTCAACTGGGTAGGCTGCCGAGCACTGCCCATGCTGGAAGTAAACAGCGCAGTCAGCGCGTTGCGGGCGTTGATGGCGCACTGGCGACTCACTGGCCGGGATGCGGGGCGGGAGCTCTTGGACGCCTTGTATTTCTAGACACAGAGGGTGCACTGAGGTCAGGACTTCCTGCTTACCTGGGCTCTCCTGGCCAGCAGTGGCTTCCCCAGTCCAGTGTGCTGTGACCCCGAGTGATGTGCTCTGCCCTTCTGGGCCAGGTTCTGGAGCTAACGGCCTCACTCTCCACTTGCCCTAGAACAGGGACCAAAAGAGCCCAATCCCACCCCAGCTCTGACTCCCTCCCTGTGGCAGGTGTGTGCCTGGGGACAGGCTACCCACAGGGGATGTGGCCACTGCTGGCCAGGAGAGCCCAGGTAACCAGTGGAGACAGAGGCTGTGTCCCTGGGCAGGGCAGGGGATCCAGCTCACCTGCAGGTTTTCAAAGTGGGCCAAAGACTTGCAGTGGGAAAGCCGCCCCCCGGAGTTACTATGGCAGAACTTTTGGCAGACGCGGCAGATGTAACCCATCACAGGCACCAAGAAGTCCACACCTAGAGGGCAGGGACATGTACACACATCTCCAGGACCAGCCCAGTATCCTGCCCTCCCTAGGGCCCACCTTACCCACACCCACCCTCTAGGGCACCAGCTGGGGAGGGGGTCACCTGGAGGCTGAGCCCAAGGCCACTGTTCGCACAGGTGGACTCAGGGCTCAGGTCTTACCACACGCAGTGTTGGGGCTATAGGTATCCAAGCCCTTCTCCTCCTCTTTTTCACCATTTTTGGACTTCACCTGAAGAAATTCAATTTTAGTATATGTGCTGCCGAAGCGAGCACAACCTAAAGAAATTCAACCAAGAGCCTCAGGCCTCGGTCTGGCTTCCCCAGACTCCATCCCCTAGATTTTGGGGTGGGGTTGCCTCCAGGGGTGCTTCTCCTGCTCCATGTTTCCAGACTCTGTTCAACCCATCCCACCCTCCAGGGAACTCCAACTCCCTGTGGCCACAATCCTCCGAGTGTGCCCAACTCAGCATGTGTGTCATCTCAGTGACAGCTCAGAGCAACTCTGTGGCTCCACCCATCTTGCAAAAGAAAACTGAGGCCACAGGGACACTAATGCACTTGCCCAGGTTGCTCAGCTGGTCTGTGGAGACGCCGGGGAGTAAACCCTAGTGGGCTCGAGCCAAAGTTCAAATGCTCACCTGGGAGCCCTCAGCTCCCTAACTTCCCACCCAGTACTCCTGTGACCTTAGTCCTGGCATGGGTTTCAGGTGACCAAGGACCCCTATGTCCAACATGCTGGACACAGGCCCCTTGCAGAAGAGACCATCCCCAGCCTATCAGCCCTACCATACCCAGTGGCCTCTACCACCTGCCACAGGGTGAAATAACATCCCTTCACCAGCCCTTCCGCTGACCACTGTGGACTGTAAGTGGGCAATATCTGTGGGCCAGGGGCCCAGCGCTGGGCCTCGCACGTCCCTGTATCAAGCACCGCGACCTGGCCCTGATCAGATTCCAAGATACATCTGTTAAGATACAAAGAATCCAAGACTGGGGCTGGTGAGATGGCTCAGTGGTCTAAAGCACCTACTTAGAACAAGCTTAGCTAAGCACAGGGACCGCGGTTCAATCCCCCAGCACCACATGCCAGCCAGCCCCGCCCCCTGGTGGGCTGAGCTGGACACACACACACACACACACATACACACACACAAATATAAATAAATAAATTTTTTAAAAAAAGAGTAACTTTAAAAAAAAATTTAAAAAAAGAATCCAAGACCAACCTGCTCCTCATTTAGAGACATGGAGCTGGGCCATTAGAGGTGTGGACTCAAGAACCTCAATTTTTTTTTAAAGTCTCACTATGTAGTCCAGACCGGCCTCAAACTCACTATGTAGCCCAGGCTGGCGTCAAACTCAGCAGTCCCCCTGCCTCAGCCTCCCAGGTGCTAGACTTACAGGCCTGCACCACCATGAGTCAGGTCTGCACCAGCCTGGCTGTGGGTCTCTCTTCCTGGCATCCACTAGAATGAGAATCTGCCAGTACAGTACATGGTACCTGCCTAGAACATAGAAAATGCTCAAAAAAAAAAAAAAACAGGAAAGTCAGCTGCTAACACCATCACCACTATCACCTTACTCTGTCACTCTGTGCCTCTCCCCTCAGGAGGCTCTCTCCCTTCCTCGGGACAAATCTCTACCAGGCTTGCAGGCCCTCACTTTGCAGCTGCGGCTTGACAGTCACCCTGCTGTGTTTCCACATGGTCGCCTGCAATGTAGTTCATGCTAGCAGCACTGTGCTGTGCACAAGTGTTACAAAAGCCAACCCCAGGTCCGGCCCCTGGGGTGGGCTGCGGCGCCCCTGAGCTGGCTGTCCAGCCTGCCCACTGCAGCCCACCCCAGCTACCTGTTTGCACAGTTCTTCCTCAACCTCGACCTCTTCCCCTTCATTGTCCTCTTCCTCTTCCTCTTCCTCCTCTTCCTCCTCTTCTTCATCACCCTCAAAGCAGCCCACGGCATCCACCGTGATGAAGTGGTCCTCGTCTTGGCCAGCCATCTCCTTCTCAAGCATCTTGAGCTGCCCAGGGGAGTGGGTGAGGAAAGACTTCGGTTGGCTGTGAGCAGCCCAGATGCTGCACACCCGACAGTCCTGGTATCTTGGCAGCCACCATGAGTCAGACTGGAATAAAGCCCAACCTGCCATGTGGCCCTGGCTGCGGCTCTGCACCCCTCTGGGCCCATGTCCCGAGGCAGCTGAGGTTACCTCCTTGGCTTTGTCCTTGTGCCCCTGGGATTTCACATGCTCCACAAACTTGCGGGGGGTCTTGAAGTAGCGGCTACAAACAGTGCAGAAGGGTCGCAAGGACTGTTTGGCTGCCTAGAAAAAGGACAGGCCATGTGCATGGCAGGTATGACCCACGGATGTGGGCAAGACCGCTCCTTCCACCTGCAGGCCCAGTGTATCCATCAGCAGCTGGCCTGGATCTGCCTCTGCCCTGGCACGTGTGCAAACACAGCCCTTCCCCATGGCAGGCCAGGAGATGCCAAGACAAGAAAGAGGAGCCCCCAAAGGAGCCGTGAACTGTGTGGCTGAAGGGCAAGTGCTGTGCCCCAGCTGGGAGTGACAGTCACATATGGACAAGGACAGAGCTTTACTTCTCCTCTGTCCTGGCTCCTCCTCCCCAACCCTGGTGCATGCAGGAGCCTCCGCGGGACAATGTACCTTGTGGTCCTGTGTCCTGCGGTGCTGGATCAGGTCCCCCACATAGTACACCTGGCAGGTGTTGCACCAGCGCCTCTGTGGTGGCTCTCTGTGTGGTGACAACCAAAATGAGCACAGTGTGACACTGTTCTAGGAGGAAACACAGCCGCCCCCCGCCCCCACATCGCTCCAAAAATGTAACACAGTTGAGCAGCACAACATGTGCCTAGCACTCGGGAGGCCCCAGGTTCTATGCCCAGCACCAAAAAAAAAAAAAAAGTAGAGTGGTGGTGGCTCCCACCTATAACCCAAGCAGGCAGAAGGGTCACTGTGAGTCTGTGGCCATCTAGCTTACAGTGACTTCAAACCTAGTCTGAACTACATAACAAGACCCTGTCTCCAAAAAAAAAGAAGAAATAAGATTGTTATGGCTTGTGCCTAACTGTCCCCCAAAGCCTCATGCGGTCTTAGATGGGGCTTTTTCAGGGGTGGCTGAATCTAGAGCATGTGATACTGGGATTGCATCATGGTGCAGTGCTGGGCTCAGGGGCACGAGGGCTAAGGGTGTGGCTGCTCCCACTATGATAGCCTGGGGGACATAAAGGGAGCGAAAGAGCTGTGGTCGGCCCTCGCTGCTTGCTGCCTTCTGCCCACCATGAGCTGCTTCTCTGCGATGCTGTCTGCCATCCCGCCCTGCCTTGCAGCCAGCCGACCACGGACTGAACCCTCTACAAACTGTGAGTCAAACTTTTTCCCCTTTGGGCTTTAGGTATTTTTTCTGAGTAACAAGAACAGTAACTTAAGACAAAATTTAAAAAGCAAACAGTTGTCAGAGAAGGGAGTTGTGTAATAACAGGCCAGAGTGTATCCTTAACGTAGGCGGCTTGCTAAAGAAAAGCCAAATATATAAAAGAATGAATTCCAAACAGGGATGCAGCTCAGGGGTGGCCTGTGAGAGGCCTGGCTTCCATCCCCTGCACCAAACAGCAAAACAAAACAAGGAAAAAAGTGTTCTTCCGATCTATGCAGTGAGACCCAGCAGACCCTGGAGACCTAGTACTAAAAAATAAAAAATAAATTAAAAAATACAAGTGTTCTCAGGGACAGAGGGATGGCTCAGCAGGATTAGGCACCTGCTTAGCAAGCACAAGGTCCTGAGTTTGATTCCCAGTACCAAGAGGAAAAAAAAAAAAAAGATTTAAAAAAAGCGTTCTCTGCCAGTGAAAATAACTCTCTACAAAGTAACCGCATACACCACTTTATAGGAGTTTTAGAGGCACAGATGGAGCTCTGAGGGAAACCCTAATATAGAGAGGGCTGCTTACCTTTCACTAAATCTCACAGCATAACTCAAATTTTTACTTTCAAGAAGACTAAAGCTGGGCATAGTGGCACATGCCCAGTACTTGGGGAACTGTGGCAGGCCACATAGTGAGTTCAAGGCCAGCCTGAACTATGCAGTGATCCTGGCTCACCAAAAAATTAAAAAAAAAAAAATTACAAAACAAAAAATTTTGGCCTGGGAGAAACCAGGCCAAAATATAGTTTTTAAAAAAATGTTTATCTTGGGGCTGGTGAGATGGCTCAGTGGTCTAAAGCACCTACTTAGAACAAGCTTAGCAAAGCACAGGGACCGCGGTTCAATCCCCCAGCACCACATGCCAGCCAGCCCCGCCCCCTGGTGGGCTGAGCTGGCCCCACACACAAATAAATAAATAAATAAATAAATTTTTAAAATTTTAAAAAAATGTTTATCTTCTTGTGTGTTTGTGTACTGTGTTATATTTTCAAAATGTTATACAGTGAATATGTATAAAACCCAGGGGTGGGCCGGGGAGATAGTTCAGTGGAATAAGTGCCTGCCTGGCAAGCTCAAGGCCCTGAGTTCAATCCCCGGTACCGCAAAAAATAAATAAATAAATAAATAAAACCCAGGGGTAATTCCTTTTTACTTTTTTTTTTTCTTTTGGTACCAGGGATCAAACTCAGGAGCTTGTGCTTGCCAAGCAGGCACTTATGCCATTGAACTATCTCCCTGGCCCTTAATTTTTTTTGGGGGGGGGGCACTCAGTCTGCCCTGAGAGCGGGGCTGGCATGGCATGTGGTGCTGGGAGGCCAGGGCTTACTCCAAAGGCAGCCTGGGCAGAGGGTGGATTCAGGACCAGCTGAGCGTGCCTGCCCACCCCAGCACAAAGCAGCTCCCCACTCACTCCTCATCTCTCTCCAGGGCATCCCGGGGCATGGGGAGCAGGGACAGGAGGCACGCTTGGTTCGTGTGCTGGAGCTCCGCGAGCCGCTGCAGGTGCTGGGCCTCCGACATGTGGCCCTGGAACTCCTGTGGCGGGAACAAGCCAGGGGTGGGCATGGGGGAAGACCCTGCAGAGGACAGCTCCAACCTGGGCCTCACAGCCACACTGCCATGTCTGTGAGGTCCTGTGTGGGCCAGAACATGCTGGTAAACTGAGGCAGGACATACACACCAGCCAGAGCTCTGCTCCTCCCTCCAAGGGACTGTGACCACTTCAAAGACAAGGAACAGGGCTGGAGAGATGGCTCAGTGGTCTAAAGCACCTACTTAGAACAAGCTTAGCAAAAGCATCAGGGACCGCGGTTCAATCCCCCAGCACC